CATTTCTCGAGCCGCTCTTTCATTTGAGCTCAAAAAAACATTCATATCTTGTCTGACATCGTTGCCACAAACTCGGGTCTACAACTCGGGTTTTCAATTGAAAGCCCGAGTTGAAGACCCGAGTTTGTAGCAGAGATATCAGACAAGATATGAATGTTTTTTTGGGCTCAAATGAAAGAGCGATTCGAGAAATGGCGTGCTGATGCCAGTAATTTTTTCTTTATTCATGGAATACGCATCATTCAAGAATCAACATCATTCATTTGAGAATATCTCTTCGCATTTCTTGGATTGAAGAATATTGTAGAATACGCGTGAGTTTAATAATAAATAAATGTTTCATAAAAAATTGAATTAAATGTAATAATAAATAAAAGATACAAAAGGAGCGACCGCGGAATAGGGTTAAAGATAAAGCAATAATGACTAAGAGACGATCGTACATGAAGGCGGTTGAGAGGGAGAAAACGATCAAATGCGGAACAATATTATGTCGTGGAATTGAAAATATTTATCCTCGAGTGACGAAAAAAATCAAGAATTTAAAAATTCCCGAATAATTTTTTTAAGCACACAAATTCAATCTTAACTAAAAAAGATTATCCGTCAAGTGGGAAAATGAAGCTTTCATATTTTCAATTCTAGCTCTCAATTAAACGATCCAAATTGAATGAATCAGATCAGATTTTGTCTGGGAGCGTAAAATGAACTCTTGAAAATGACACGAAATTCGTTATAAACGTCTGATTCGATTCGTATTTAGTCACTACTATTGACAATTACGAATCGATATGGGTCAATTGAATTAACATATTATTCAGCGGTAGCAATTGACCCTGATCAATCACAATAAAACACATGAATTATATTCGATTTACTAATTCGTCGCTTTGTTTGTTTCATCTCTAGGGATCTGGATACCTGAAACGAGCCAATACTGAACGTCTCCATGAGATTTTCGATCAGGTGAGGGACGCATTATTAACATTACGAGAGAATGTGAAAAATTCTGGAAATGGGCGAAGGGAATACTTTGCATTTTTGAAAAAAAAACTAGTAAATAAAATACTCATAATTTAGAAATATTCAGGGACAAAAACTATTCGTCACCTGATACTTGGATGGGTGTCCGCCTAGCCCTATCTCTCCGCGTGGAACTGTTTACGCTAGGCACGAAAGCAGAGACCTACTGTGCCCATCTAGTCAGTGTGACAGACTAACGTACAGAGATCAGTGTGACAGATGGGCACAATACGACCCTGCAATATCGGCCGGCTGTACGACTGAGGTTTTCCATGGTTTCCCTGGCAGTTCTAGCCCGAATGGGCCGCAGTCGGGTACACTGAGAGGAATATCGTCATAATATCATAAAACTAATTTCTGGCGCCAAATATCTCATCTCTTGAGGATAAATTTCTTAGGATTAGAATTCCGGATAATGTGTCAGACAATGTCAGATTTCGGTGAAGTATTCAAGACTTAAACATGAACATTTCATGTAAAAGTGAGTATTTCTTGCCACAAGCAATCGGTTTTTTCGTGTCATAAGATGAGAAAATGACTAAAAATATTAAAAGCTTCGATTCAACGAATCATGAATCAGAGACTTGCATATTAAATGAATAGAGTTTATGCAGAGGAAAACCTCCGGATATTAAAAAAATATAACCGTCGTTTACGCTCAATTGCTTTGAGTTCGAAGGGAGGCAATATCTTCCTTACCTTCTGTCAAACTATTTTTGTCTTCTAAGTAACATTATCTCATTTCGAAAAAAGACATCATCTTTTCATTCAGTAACTTCCTCCTTAGTCCGAAGAGCACCGATTTCTTGTCTGAAACCTACCGTAAATTGATCAAATATGTATGCAATGTTTTTCGCTCAAGACCTGATTTTTGTGATATGTCGATTTTTCTCTTAGTGTACCGAGTAAAACATGACGATCTGAGTCACCGATAAAACCACAACGGAGTAAATAAAAAATTGGTGAATATGACACGAATGAAATAATGAGCAGTGATAATTAAGAACGTAGCACAATATGTTGCACTAATGAATCCAAAAACAAAGTACGATATTAACCGTAGATCTTAATGATAGGGTCAACACTTCCATATCATGATTACGTACTCCAAGTAATTAAGGATAGGACATAAAATAAATTTATCAATTGGAAAAGGAAAGGAATATTCGCTTCACATGACGAGGGAGAAATTACTCAATAAATATTCTGGTCTATTAACATTTGATTTCCATTCAGAAGTGTCCGTTTTGCCCCGCTGTTTCCTACTTTTGCATTATTTATATGCCGGCGTCTAGTGGATAACAGAGAGATCTCGCTTATCGCGATGGCCACGAAGCTTGCGCGGGATCGAAGGATGGTGATAAGTAGATATCAAGCCAGCACGTGACTGTGACAATCTTTGTGTGAAGAAAAAAACGGATGATAATGAGCGTTATAGCTCTTCAAAACGCATATGGAGCGTCACGCGTGAAAAAAGTTGAGACACTGACAGAAGAAGCTTTTATTGGACAAATATCAATAGATCTTTACTGATTTATTCATTGAATAGTTCAGGTGCGTAGGAAAACCTGTCGAGAAACCTTGCGCCTTGAATTGGAAAATCCTGTTGGATTTCTCTCGAATTTGCTATTGAAAATAGAATTAGTTTTTCGACAATTCTGAAGAATGAATTTTTGTGGCGTTCTTTGAAAATATTTTATAGAAAAAATCAATAGGTTTCCTTTTGTATTTTAGGTATTGTATTCTCTTTACAATTTGAAATAAACAAGCCACAAGCTTTCGAGCAAGAAAGTTGGAAGATCAGAAATCTGCCAACTTTTCTGAATTCTTCACCAGAAAAAGTGAAAGAATAATAGAACTCCAATCGAATTTTCCGCCGAATGCTCCCAACGCATTCGGTCCGCGATGATTTGTAAAGAACGGGGAAACTCTCAATCATCGACACTGAGGATTGATGACAATTGATGACCTTCAGAGATAGCGATAATCATAAATTAGAATTACCGTTAAATTTCGAAGTAGTCAATTCGTTAATATTACCCCATATTTTTTAATTATTAAATTAATCATCAACTAAATATTAAAATCCCGAATTATTTTATCAATCAGTAATTTTACTAATTAATTTAGTTAATTTAGTTAGTAAGATTGACGATTATTTGATTAAGCGAAAAATCGTTTTTATGAAATTTAGTGTTATTTATTCAATAGACAATTGACAATTCCATATTATCAATCATTTTACTATTTTTTAATTTCGATAATTATAATGATTATAATACTAATATTATTACACGTATGAAACAATTCAACAGAAAATCTTAGCGAATTCGTTAGAAAATTCTGCTTCAATGCTCGTTAAAATTCTATTTGTTTTTTGCGCTGATTCTACGAGATATATGATAGGAAAATTCACTAGATTTCGATTTTTCTATATGAATATTCTCTTGTAAGTTTTTTTTACTCGCATCCTGTAATGCAAAGCAAAACAAAATATAGCGGAAAAAACCTAGAAAATCCGTGCCCGATAATTTTAGTAGAAAAAATCTCATGAGAAAAATTCAAACAGAAAAATCGAAATGTTTCGAACCTGTTCCTATCAAATATCTAATAGAATCTGCGTAAAAAATAAATAAAATTTTCACGAGAATTCCTTAGAATTATAACAAAATTTCTAGAAAATTCCAATAGAATTTTCTAGCAAATTCGCTAAGGTTTTCTATTGAATTTTACGTGTACATCTAACCCTTAATCAATGTGAGGTTCAAATTCTGTTAATATTGAAGAATCCAATGATCGATGGCCATCCCTGATGATCTTGAACTCAGGCAACTGTTGATGTTTTCAGTATGCCTCCCAGCAGAAGAATGGGGAGCGGTTCATGACCCCGGCTGACTTTGTGCGGAGCTACCTTGGCCTCTACACAGATGCCGACTACAATCCCGACTCTGTCAACCTCTTGGCAGGCATCGTCGACACCAGCAAAGATGGGTAAGCTCTGGGTTCACGGTCCCTGGTGGAGAAACCTCAGGCATTGTTCAGTAATATATTGCTGAGAAATCCTGATGTGTAACTATATTTTGCAGGCTCATATCGTTCGCTGAGTTTCAAGCATTCGAGGGGCTTCTCTGTGTACCCGACGCCCTTTATAAAACGGCCTTCCAGTTGTTTGATACTAATGGAAATGGAATGGTTGCATTTGGTGAGGTTTATTTCACTGAACGATCAAGACACATTACATTGCGACAGTTATGATTACGATTGATGGATTAATGCTCCTGTTACAGACGAATTCGCTGAGGTGATGAAGAAAACTGAACTCCATCAGAGAATGCCATTCAACATGGAGAGTAGTTTCATTAAATTGTACTTTGGAAAAGATAAAAAAAGACTAATTAGTTATGCAGAGTTCAGTCAATTCTTACACGTGAGTTGAGAAAGTTGTTGAGTATATGTAAAATATTTAAAACTAACGAGTTTGGAGGGACATGGAAGAGACCTTTTTGGTCCATGAAATTTCTCTCATTTATTTTGTGAAAATCTTGCAGGAGAGCTGTTTCTATCTCTTCTCTTTAAAGATAAACAGATTGCAAAATAAACTATGAATTTGTTTTCAACGTCTTCTCCATTTCTTTATTGCTACCTTTTTTGGTCTGCAATGTGAAAGAATCCCTTCTGTAAAAGTTTTATAGACGAGTAATTTTCATATTTTCTTCTTGCTTCCTTAGCAACGTTCGTAACCATTTCACCACTCAATTTTCCAGGATTTTCACGAGGAGTACGCCACAGAGGCATTCAAGAAATTCGATAAAAACGGCGATGGTTTCATATCCACAACAGACTTTCAAGATATAATGCTCAACATCAAGAGCCATCTACTCACTAAAGAAGTCAAGGATAATCTTGTGGCAGCGGTGGGCACCAGCGGCGGGAGAAAAGTCAGTTTTCCCTACTTCATGGCATTCAATTCACTCCTCAATAACATGGAGCTCATCAAGAGAATCTACCTGAATGCAACGGGCGGTCATCGCTATCAAGAAGTCACCAAGGAGGAATTTCTGCATTCAGCTCAAATGATGTCACAGATAACACCACTCGAAGTTGATATTTTATTCCATTTGTGCGACCTTCTCCATCAAAGTGGGTACGTGATAATCATGAAAATGACTGGGAATCGAGATTTTAATTGATTTCAAATTGCAGGAAAATTGTCTATAATGATTTGGTGGCCATCACCCCAGAACAGTATTTCAAACACATTACCAGGCGTCTTGCATTGCTGAAGGCTGTCTCGGTAATTAATGAAACGTGGAAATTATATTTTTCTCCGGGAAAGGCAATCATGAACACTGTTATAAATTTCTGTTCGAAATTTCCAATTGAAGGCTTACAGAATTCAATAGGTCTTTGAATCTCAAGAGTTTCCATGGATGACTGAATATTTATGTTCAATTTTGCAGACACTACAGATTTTTTCTTTAACCTGGTGACTCCATTGGTCAAGTTCATCAGCAGGATTGAGTATTAAGGATATCCAAGTATCTTTTAGAGTTTGGTACAGATGACACTCTAGAGTCAAGCACTTTCAATCATCAAATTTGTCAATTAAATTGCCTGAGAAGAATTTGAGAAAATCATGAATATTCACCGCCGTTGTTTATAAATAAATAAACAAGTTCGACTTCAAAAGTAGAAAAGCATTTCACTGGAGAAAAAATAGCCAAAGTAGTTGGATATCCTTAATAGCGTTGGCGGTGTTTCGCCACGAATTAACAATTATGAAATAATTCTAATGGAGTTGTAAATTCCATTAGCTCGATAACTCGAAATTAATTGTAAGAGACGTTCTTTACGTCACTTGTTTTGAATGTGAGGGGACGATACGATAGATAAAGTGAAGAACCCATTAGAAATTTGGACTCACAACACCAATTGTGTTTAAATTTTAATACACTTGAGTAAATGATGACCGGATGCACTTGATTTGAGACTGTTTTAATTTCAATTGTTGACACTTTGAAGTCTTGTTTAGAACTGATTTACAAAATATGAAATTTCTGCTAAGAAGTAATGGCAAAAGAGGAAAGGAAAGAGTGAGTGTTCTGAAGAGCTCGACAATAGAACCGAAAGAAATTGTGCAAGGACCGAAGGGAAGAACGAAAATTAGGAAAGGAAGAAAAGGGGGTCGATTTAATTGGTTTCAGGATTGGAAAATGGGCTCGGGTTTACCTGAAGAGAGCAATGCAAGGGATTACAGCATATTGGGATGGTGTTTATTAGAAGTGCAATATTGAAAGGGTATTGGATGGTAGAAATTGCGAGCAATAATCGAAGAGAGTGGGCAATAAAGAAATAAAGATTTCGCGAGCGCATTATAAGGATTGAAAATCTTTTGAAATGATGGGAATAAACATACTGAGGATTAAGAATATTGCTGGGAAATTTTCGTTAATGGACATTTTACAATTCATTTTACATTTTTATTTTCTTGGGAAAAGAAGAAGACATTTTTGCCCATGAAGCGCCAAACAATGAAAAGATAGGAATACAATGAAATGTGGGCAGGGAAAACGGAGTGTGAAGAGATATGCGCGGCATTTTTCTTTGCCATTTAATTAATTTATATTAATAATTCGACATTGCGTGTATCGGCACTGTAAGGGGCTGGGTAAATAGGCCGGCAGTTATCATCAGAGTGCTATTTCAATCCAATTTTTTTCTAGGGTCCGATCATTTTTGAAAAATCAAATTCTTTCGCACTTCATAACGATGTTTTACAGGATGTATGAATTTGCATCTAACAAAATAGTCATTTTACCCTAGAAAAAAATTGGATTGAAATTTACTACTCTGATGGTAACTGCCGTCCAAGTTCCCAGATAGCCAAATTCAGTTACGATAGTGTTACACTTGCCTTCAGAAGTAATAGAAGGCCACCGTTTCCTCGGAATTTTCAAACAAATTTCCTGCGCAAAGTTAACAATATTTTTTGAGCTCAAAGCACATTGATCTTTATCATCGCTTCCTCGAGATTAATGTGCTTTGATTTATAAAAATATCGATAACTTTCAGCAGGAAATTTGTTCAAAAAATTGGAAAATTAGCGGCATTCTGTTACCCCTTAAGGGGGGACGGAACCCCTTTGTCTACATCAAATCTTCGAATTGTGTTTTCTCCTACAATTATTAATTTCTATCTATGAAATTACTTTATAGACTCCATTATCGCATTGTTGAGTCAATGAAGTAGTTCAATGAATAAAAAATAATTTCGGGGAATTACATCACTCAAGAACCAATGGAACTTACCGTCGCAGGAGAAACTGGATTGCAATTTTTTTCGTCGTCAGAAGATTATTCAGCAAATACTAAATTCTTGCATAATTTTATAAGCTTGATATCTATAGTGTACGAATTTGGGTTTTGCAGAATAATCGTATGATGAAAAAAATTGGAATCCAGTCTCAACTTCAATGATAAGTTCCCTTGCCTCTTAAACTAATAAAATTCTACTGCAATATCACAGGAGGAGCATTCAAATGACGCAGAGAACACTTAAAAATTCCGTTTTGAAATGAAAAACATTATTTGAAATTGAAATGAAAAAATCCTTGGATTTTCATGTGGATAAGATGAAAAGACCTTATTGATGAAAAATTTCAAGCTAAAACGCGCTCTTGATAAATCCTTGTGCATCCGGCCATTCCCAAGACATTCGTCAAATAATCAGCCCTCAAATCTCATACTTATCTTTCTCCGCCCTTCCCCACAAGAACAATCTCATTAAGTGCTGAAAAGAAACAAATCTTTTAGAGTCCTGACGAACGGGGAATAGTAACGCAAATCCTCGAGAGTGGCTATCGTTTCGTCCTGGGATCGATTGGTGGTGCTGTTGGTGCGACAGCAGTCTACCCAATAGATCTTGTGAAAACGCGAATGCAGAATCAAAGAACAGGCTCATTTATCGGTGAACTTATGTACAGAAATAGCTTCGATTGCTGCAAAAAGGTTGGGATCAACGAGTCTGAGGTGACGTTTGTAGCTCCATCGTTTAATCATAAAAGTTTGTACGTTGCGTTTGACAGGTCATCAGGCATGAGGGATTTTTTGGCCTTTATCGGGGTCTGGTGCCACAGCTGATGGGAGTGGCGCCGGAAAAAGCTATCAAGCTGACAGTCAATGATTTTGTCAGGGATAAATTCGCTGATAAAAATGGAAATCTACCTCTTTATGGAGAAATTATTTCTGGTGCTTGTGTAAGTTTTCTTCATTATTTCAGAATTACTATTAGGTTTTTTGTTGCTGGCAAATGGCTTTGGTTTTGAGAACGAGTAAGACTGGGAGGAAATGGTGGAGTATCTTTTTTGTAGCTGACCAAATTTCGCGTAAAAAGGGTCTACACAGGGAGAAAAAGTTTCCATTTTCCGATCGGAATCTTTGTTTAAGTGAAATATTTTCTTAAGAAAATTTTCATTCACACTGAGGCATATTTTTTATTATTTCATAGTCTTGAAATTTAGAACTTTTGGGGTTTTAAGGCAAGAACATTTAGGTTCTCAAATTACGGAAGGTTCAGTCTTGAATCAAGGATATTTTCTGTTCATACATTCATCAACTCATTTTTCTAGTGCCTTTATTCTGTATTCCCTTGACCCCTGTGACTCACTCAACGCTCATTTAATGTTCCGTTAAAACAGAATTTTATCCCATTCAAATGTTCTTAGTTCGAGAACGTAAAGGTTTTCAATTGAAAAATCCACTGAAGAAGTTCTTGATTTGAGAGCTTCTCTCACTCAATCGAACGATGGTATAAATATCCTCCCATTACTGTAACTAGAACAGGGTGCGCGGCGCGCGTGTTGTTTTCCAAGGGTGCCAGAGTAGTAAAACCTTACCACTTCTCACTTTCATTAATTTTTATCTCAATAATAATGTTTGAACAAAGTCCTTCACAATGAGAATTTAATTGTTGAATAATTTATTCGGAATCGTCATCATTCTCTTTATCTTCTTCTTCGTTTCCCTTTTGCTTTTTGCGTTCTTTTTTTATTTTTAAGGATGCATTATGTACTATATATATATACTATTCTATATTTTTTTTGACAGAACTATTCACTTTTTCATTACAGTAACAAATAAATTTCTCTTTTTTAACAATTACTATATACTATAAACAAAAGATTACAGTACATAAAAAAATATACATAGACATCATTTTACATTACTTGATAAGCGGAATCGAGGCTTCAAAAATCGTTACACTGGATTTTTTAAAAGTGAAATATGTAGCGTCAAAAAACAGGTTTGCTTGCTCTCAAATGCGAGCAGTAGAATTCGGGACACCGGTATTTCCGATCGCTGAATGGAATTTTGAATGGTTGTAATGGTGCGATTACGATCTTTTTTTTCTGACTGGTGGCAGTGATGACCATTAATCTTTAAATTCTTCAATATTCAAAGAATTTCCGACTTACACTAATTAAGGTTTAAATATACTAATAGAGATTTAAAAATAGAAAAACAATTGATTATCCAAATTTCCAATTGATGATGAATTAAATATTTAATAATATGGAGCTGTAAATTTTCTATTAAGGCGCCTCGAGCGTAGCTATATATATTGGGAAAGGCGGGGATTTTTTGAGACGCTCCCACGCTTTTATGAGTGATCCAAAAAATATAATCCTTAGCTACAAATGCACCTTACTTTATCCGGCTGCAGCTGAAATAGATATTTTTTCTCTTTTCAAAAATGATGCAAATTATAATCCAAATATGCGAGCTGGTTTGACACATAACCCCCGCCATTGGGGGACAAGTTCACAGCGGTTTGGCTGTCAAACCGACTCACAGGTTTGTATTATGATTTACCCCATTTTTCAACTGAAAAGAGGTCTATAATCCACTTAGCCGCAGCCGGATATAATAAGGTACATTTCTAGCTAAGAATCATATTTTTCGGTTCATTCATAAGAGTCTGAGGATATCTCAAAAAATCCCCGCTTTTCCAATATATATAGGGGAGGATGGGGCAAAACGGCCCCCCTTCAATCGTCAATATTTTCTGATTCAATAATCCGATTGGGATGAGTTAGAGCTCGTTTTGAAGAATGAAAAATTATCTTCAAAATGAAGTTGAAACTGGGAATTTTCACAATGTCATTCACAAGTTATTGACAATTGAAGGGGGGCCGTTTTGCCCCACCCTCCCCTAGCTATGCTCGAGCTGCGTTAAGTAGAGAATACTAAATTTCTTATGAGGGATTTCCGATTATCCAACTAATCGTCAATCTTCCTAACTAAATTACTGATTAATAAATGATTCGGAATTTGAATATTTAAATTGATGATTACTTCAATAATTAAAATTTACGAGTGATATTAGCGAATTGACTACTAAATAATTTAACGGTAATTATAATTCATGGATATGGCTATCCCTGACTGGCGGAATAGAAAATTCCCTTTGCACTAATATGATTTCTTTACTCTTCCTCGATAAATTTTAATTCTCTCCCTTTTAAAAATCGCTGAGGGTGTCAGGAATAGGGACAATAGCCATTACTGGGACATTGACGGCTCTCGAATGTCAAAAAATGATTTATTTTAGGCCGGAGGGTCCCAAGTGATCTTCACAAATCCCCTAGAAATCGTGAAAATTAGGCTCCAAGTAGCTGGTGAAATCGCAGGTGGCTCCAAAGTTCGAGCCTGGACTGTTGTCCAAGAGCTGGGACTCTTTGGCCTGTACAAAGTGAGTTTCACATACTGTCCTCATCCCTTGGAAATCGCACAATATCTTATAACACTTTTTCTTCGTAAACTCAGGGGGCGAGAGCCTGTTTTCTCCGTGACGTACCATTTAGTGCCATTTACTTCCCCATGTACGCTCATACAAAAGCTAAACTGGCTGACGAAGGTGGATATAATACTCCTTTGTCACTCCTGGCGGCTGGGGCAATCGCTGGAGTGCCAGCTGCGGCTCTTGTCACACCGGCAGACGTTATTAAAACTAGGTTACAGGTAATTGTCAAGAAACTTGAGATATTGCTTCTTCAATTTTCAGAATTTCCTCTTTTTAGAGGCTTTTTTTCATCTTTTGTTCTTGTCAAAACGTGAGATTTATTTATAGGTTTTTATAGGTTTATTCTGCTACATTCATTAGGTGTCATAAAAAACTGGCTCTTGTCCTATTTTGTTAAAAAATATTCATATTTTTGAGACTTTGTCTTTCAACTCGTGCAGTATTTATTGGATAGTTTCTATTTTTTTCTTTTTTGAAAACTTTATGATGTTATTTTGGTATCGTTATATTTTTAAAATCATTGCCTAGAACTCTTTATTGACTTGTGCGACGAAATACTCACGTACATTTGTAAACGAGATGTGATTTGAGGCCTCAATTTAAAGATTTTATTTCTCTAAAACCTCTCGGATCACTAAAAAAATGAAAACCTCATTTTTCTTACTTTTTTACATTAAAACTCAAGTAGCAAACTCATCAGCAAGATAGATATCGACACCAACAATTTTGAAATATTCAGTGCGGTCTACCCCTAAATTAATCAATAATCAATAATAAAATGAAAAATGCCAGGTTGTCGCACGAGAGGGTCAGACCACCTACAACGGCCTTGTAGACTGTGCTAGGAAAATATGGAAGGAGGAGGGGGCGAGAGCATTTTGGAAGGGAGCCACAGGTACGTATATAATTATTTACGCATAAAGACAAGAATAAAAAATTCTGCTGCTCATGCGCTGCTCTGCTTCTTCAATCATTCATCGTTTATCGAATAATTTGTGCATTTATTTCCAATTTCCAATCTTTTGTTTTTACGAGACATCTTCTATTCTTGATTATTTATTTCGAACAGCAGAATTTTTTCATACGCTACAGCTAGAAAAATAGAAACGCCCGCTTTGTTATCAGTCAAAAGAACAGACAGTTAGTAATACATTTTGAACGTTCGGCGCCGGGTTCCGGGACCTGGCGCACCATTGGTCTTCCTTTTCTCCCCAATATGACCTGGCGATTTACTGGTCAGTAAGTAGACAACATCTTCTCTGGCATCCAATCTGAATTTCGTTCTAATCAATTGGTTTTATTCGTTGAACTGTTTTTTATATTTTTATTCGTTCTTTGATTAATGTTTATTTTTGTCACTGTATTTCGACTCATTTAATTCTGTCATGACCACGGTGCCATCATCACCCCATGATCATTGCAATTATTATCACGTTATGATCGTTATTAACTGTGTTGCTGTGTTATGCAATTTTAATGATTATTTGGGCTCATTCGTGAATTTAGGAGTTTACACTCGTTTCATTTATTCTAGCTCGAGTGTTTAGATCATCACCACAGTTCGGAGTTACGTTGTTCACGTATGAACTTCTGCAGAGACTGTTCGTGGTTGATTTTGGTGGAACGTGAGTATTGAACAAATTTTTTTTCATTGAATTGACAAAACGTAAGAATTTTGTTCATGTTGTCTTGATAAAATATAAATTATCTCAACAATGAACTATCTAGACTTGTTTTGTAGTGCAACAGAAATGTCATTCTCCCAACGTCAATACGACGCTCGATGCACTTCTTGGGTATTTTTTGAAGAAAACGAATTGAACCCACTTCATTAAAATTGTCAAATTTATACGACATTCGTATTAAGGATGCGCAAACATTTTTTTTTGTTTTTTGCCGATTTTATGGAAAATTTCCGCGGCTTCAACGAGCATTTTTTTCTCATAGAAAAAATTCAACAGAAACGATTCTACCGAAAAAATCAGTAGAATTTCATCTTTATGTACAACTTTTTCCATTGACACTATAGGAATTTCTCGACACGCATTCCCTCATTTTTCCACTCTATTTGCCTTCCCGTTTCATTGAAAAACAGAACGAAAAAATTTAGAAAATTTGAGCCGACGAATTTCTGTAGAAAATATCTCAATAAGTTGTATAGAAAAATCGAATTCCATTGATTTTCTCTATACATATTTTAATTGAAAAAAATACACGCAGACAAATTGCAGAATTTGCCAATAAAATCGGCCCAAACGAATAAAAACTATAGTAGAAATCCAATATATATTTTTAGCGAATCCCCGAGGTTATTCGATTCGATTTTCGTTTCTGGAAAAATCGCTAAAAATTGAAAAATCATGAATAATTTTCTTCGCAGACGACCAACGGGATCAGAGCAGAAAGTACCGTCAACGGGAGTTGCAGACGAGATAAAATCCACAAACCCCGACCACATAGGTGGCTACGAGGTTGCCCTGCCCATTCTCACTGGAATTGAAACGAAATTTGGTTTGTGTTTACCAAGGTTTCAAGCAGCGCCACGACCCCAACAGAAGTAATCAACGTCCAGGATGACCAAGACCAAGCGAATTAACGTTGAGAAGAAAAATTATCACTGGCTGACATAACCGTACACCAGAAGGGGGGAGGGGGGAATAATAGGGCTCGTAAGCGTTTCACCAGCCGAGCAAAAAGCTCTGTACCTTGAAAAAGAAGTAATTCTCATCCAATTTAGCCCTTCCCCCCGTCTACGTTTCTGCCACTAGATGAGACTCTTTTGCTAGCTAAATGTACATATATGAAATATGTAATATATAACGGAAATGATGTGAGAGTGCAAGTGCGTGAAGATGCATGGAAGAGATGAAAAAAAATATTACGAGGAGCGATGTATGAGCAGTGAACTCGATTCTTTTTTTCTACCTAAAGAATGACATTCTATGCACCAGTTACATTCAGTAATATATTTTCATTGTCACTGAGATGCTCCAGCACAAAGTAACTAGTAGATTAAATTGAGAGAGAAGAGTAAAGCGATAAATCAAATAAACTGAGGGACTAAATAAATTACTCACCACAAATTTCGAAGCAATACGTTTCGGAATTATATCAATGGCATGTGCAAGTACAATTACGCAATGGACTGGCTTCCATTTATATTGTAAATTCATCGAGTTGGTAATTCGGTGGATTGGAAAAATTAATGAACGAGATGTATAGAGATAATTGTAAAGTAAATGAAGATGTTATTGTGAATACATTTTATGCTTCTAGGTAAATTAATATTTTAAAATCCAAATAAAAAATTATTGAAAAAATTTATGTTGTCTTTTGGAATTTACAGTATTTTAGCAGTTCCTATTTTCCCCAACGCCTCATTGTGGTTCGTATTTAAGTGGAGATGAAATAGATTTGAATTGAAACTAATGAGTCGAGTCGATGGTGAAGGATCTTCTTTACATGTTCAATTCGAATAACTGATAATGGAGTAAAGTGATAGAATCAATAAGAGAAAATTAAAAAAAATAGAGTTAAAACTTCTCGATTTCAAAATCATCGTTAATACCTCTCATGCTTCCCATTACGAATATCCAAGTGTCTTTTACAGTTTGGTACAGACTACACTATAGATTCAACCCTTTTCAATTATCAAATTTGTCAATTAAATGGCGTGAGAAAAATTTGAAAAAAAGATCATGGGTATTCAGCGACATTCAAGTGACATTTTGCACATAATTATTTTTTTTTTGAAGATTCGTTGTTTGTAAATAAATAATTGAAATTGTTTAAACTTTCGGAAACCTCTTTTTTTTAGGCATGAAATCGATTTCTGGTAAAATTCTGAATATGAATTAATTTGTTACGATTCCGAACAAATGATTTTGATGGTGAAAAATTGGTTGTTTATAAATGAGTTATAGAAAATGCCCATATTTTTTCATTATTTCATAATCTTCCTCCAAAGGAAAAGTTTCTAATTCTTTTTTGGATTTCAATGATTTTTCAAGTGATTTTTTGAGATCAAGAAATCACTCACTTATTTTTTTTTTTTTTTGAAATCAAGAAATCACCAGAATTTCCCAGAAATCATGGAAATCAAGAGAAATCAAAAGAAATCATAATTTTCAATTTTTATTGAGAAATCACAGAAATCATTCAAAATTTACAGGAAACCATCCCATTCTGGAAATCACTGAGCCACTCGTTTGAAGAGCGACCAGCCCCTCGAAAAAATGTTTTCTAATGGTTCAATACTGACATTCAAATCCAGATCTGCAAAGTTTAAATAATAAAATCATTGTAAAATGTCCGGAAACTTGGAGTGAAATGGGGTCAAATGAAAGCTCTGATGTTCGACTACAAAAGTAGAAAAGCATTTTACGGGAGAAAAAATAGCCAAAGCACCTTGACGTCCTTAAATTAACCCCTTACACCGGAGTCCTTCTCTCACCAAGTGTAGCATGGGCTCAATCTCACTGAAATTCGATGACTTCAGATGGATAAAAAATTCAAAAACTATATGAGATTAAAGCTCCACTATTCGAATGGTGTTCGTCCGATTGCATTACCTGTACTAGTGTTCCAAAATTTAATATTTTGGAAACAGTCATGCTTTTTCACATGGGCCGAATGAAATCTCGTTCACAAAAATCCGAAGATGTTTCCTGAAATATTCAGTAAAAATTGCAGAACTCACAGTTCGCTCATCAATTACGGAATCGACTCAGAAAATTTAAGTGACGGTATCGTAATTTTTCACAGGAGATTCAGGCAAAAATTATGGAACGCTCTGGAAAAATTCCGTGATTTCAGGTAAAAATTACGTGACAGTTCCGTAAAATTTTCTACAATCACATTTCGCTGCGGAATTACGCAAAAGATACATAATTTTTATTGAATATTTCTCTCCGTGCAATATCGCGATATGAAGTCTCGTTCACAAAAATCCGAAGATGTTTCCTGAACTGTAGACCACTCTCCCAATTTCCCGAAAAATCACCTCTTCATTAGTATTTCCTCAACGTTTCACGATTGCTCCTATTCCCCACCACGAGCAACATGCAAAGTGAACTCTCACAGCAAATATCTGCATCGAGTCACGCGATCTCCCCAGATTCATAACGATGAAATTGCACCGTTATGAATTCCCGACGTGATTTTGATTTTATTCATCACACGATTTTCCAACCTCGGTATCCGCATTTGGAGTCTCCGCGATGAGGCTTGAGCCGTTGCAAGTTACCTGTGGAAGACAACTGGAGAATATCTACAACTACTTCCAGGCAATCTGTTGAACACTGGAATGAATTGGTCCCGGAGAAAGGAAAAACGAGAACGAGACGAATAACTCTGTTCAATCAGTTGAGCACTTCTCTTTTTTCGAGACATTTATTGGCATTTGGAGCGATGGGGTTGATTCAGTGTCTCCACGTTACGACTCCCCCAATTAATCAATTATATAATATCAATCGATTGATTATTTCAACCCAAATTAAAGCGTTATATTCCCTTCATGCAATACAAATGCCTCTTCCAATTAATGTTTTATTCAACTAACTACGTGAAGTAATCCTTCTGCAATTGAACGGAGTCTTTAAATATGAATAAGGCCGGATGATGAAATATTGATGATATCAAACCTTACGAGCTCATTTGAAACCCTAATTTCGAACCGCCCCATCAACTCGATCATTTTCCACTTTGAAAAGGCCTCGACTCTACCGGTTCAACCGCTCCCATAACAATGACATGTGAAAATCGATAATTTCACACTGGCTCGTAACCAGTGGATTTTGATTTACGGAGAGTTGAGGCCAGTCAACTGATTCAATGAAACCTGGTAATATTGAATACAACCAGTAAAACTGGTGAAGCGTATTACGGCAATCACCGTTGTGGTCACTATTGATACGATAGCCAGTGGCTCATGGGTGTCCAGAATTTCTAACGCAATTTCCACGTGAATGCCTCATTACAGATTTCATCGGTGTTTGCAGTTAGCTTCTGCCATTTGAACCGTTATTTCACGGTCTCGATTAAATTTGTGAGGGAGATGTGATAAGAAATGGGCGTAATTATTTCAAGTTGCGAAACTCAATAGATTTGGCGATTTCTAGACAAATTGAATTGAAATATTCTTTATCGGAAATTCAAAGCGTCAAATACTGCATTTCCATTAGTTGACATTCAGGCGGGGAAAATAATTGGTATAATTTGAAATTTTATGATTTTTTCGCCCGCTAAATCAAATTGAATATCGCTCGTCTAAAAATAATACAAAACTGTGAATGAACTTCCGATTTTTTTCCGACAGAGGGGAAGAGGGTAGAATATAAATGAGAAAACCGGGAATGGTTATGTGGAGAACTCCATGATACTTATTCTAATCCTTAATCTGACCTTTGTGACCCTTGATCTGATCCTTGTGACCCTTATTTAGACCCTTGTCCCCCTTGTTTAGACCCTTATTTGAACCCCTAATTTGAGCCTTTTAACCCTGATTTAGACCTTTATTCTGACCTTCGTGACCCTTAATCTAACCCTCGTGACCCTATTCTGACCATTGTGACCCTTATTCTAACCCTTTCGACCCCCATGACCATTATTTTAAACCCCGCGACCCTTGTGACCCTTAATTTTGGACTTTTAATTTTGAGTACCAATTTTTCATCACCAGAAGTCGATTTGGATTTTTGTATTATAGAGAAACTTTCATTAAATGAAAAGGATAGACTCTCGTGCGAACAAATATAATGCAGAATTTGAAAGATTAGTATTGTAATAGAACTATTGTTTGGGTATGAGTTTCATTCGATTCAATCAGTGAATCCCTCCACACTCAATTTGTCATCAATTATTTATTCATATTTATCGTACATGAAAACTAAAACAAACATAGATATTTGTACATAATAACAGATAGCATCGATTAAACTAGTAATTTCCTACCTAATAGACTAGAGAAGCATCCGAAATCCCGAATCTATCGCCCAAGTTGGAATGGCCCTGGCCTAACATCACCGCAGATATTTACACCAGCGTCATTCCAACAATTTAAACTAGAAAAAAATTCTCCTGTGGTGGCCGTGAGCCTCGCGAGGATGCCCCCGGGCGGGACACGAGAGACAGTAGTTCCCCAGTGACAACGAGGCTTTTCAGTATCTCCACAAGAAACTTCAAGCCTGAAAAACTCTCGACTCGAGGGAAAAACTCGTGGGAGCAATTTACGTAGTCCTAGACTAGTTTCCAGCGAAGCGATGAGTATATAAATGATGCGCTCATTTCTTCATTTATATTTTCTATTTTTCTTCTTCGTGTCTCACTTTCTGCACTTCTCTCACTCAAGACTAAAATGAAGAATTTCAATGTTGACTATGGGGTGGCACATTGGGGGCTCATCTCAGTAAGCGTAAGCGCACAGTGCACCGAGATGGTAATAACCTCCGCGAGCTGAGGGAAAGAAAAATAGAAATGGAATATTAGTAATCCAAACTTAATATTTCGTGCTATACAATACAATAACCCAAACTCAATATTTCATGCGTGTACCAATTTCAATGGAAAATCTAGAGCATTCGTCAGAAAATTGTATTAGTATTCAGGCCCAAGGCTGGTGGAATTACATATTCGATTTATATATTCTCTATTTCTATTTGAAATTATGCAATTCAAAAATATAAAAAGTTTCCGTTGATAAAACTCAACATGTGTTGATTTTATTATACAATTCGTTACGATTCTTTGTATAACTGTTTTTGGCAATGAATTTTATAGTTTTTCCTCAGACTTCGTTATGAAAACAAAAAAAAAATACATTGGAAGGAGTTCGTAAAAAATAGAAGTACACGTGTAATCCTTTATTTGATTATTAGATTTTAAGTCTATTTAATGTTACAAGAAGTTGATGTTAAAAAAATTTAGCTGAATTTTCCGGAACAAGAACCAATTTCAAGTACCAATTTCAATGGAAAATCTAGAGCATTCGTCAGAAAATTGTATTAGTATTCAGTCCCAAAGCTGGTGGAATTCCATTACATATTCGATTTATATATTCTCTAATTCTGTTTGGAATTATGCAATTCAAAAATATAAAAAAATTTCCGTTGATAAAACTCAACATGTGTTGATTTTATTATACAATTCGTTACGATTCTTTGTATAACTGTTTTTGGCAATGAATTTTATAGTTTTTCCTCAGACTTCGTTATGAAAACAAAAAAAAAAAAATTGGAAGGAGTTCGTAAAAAATAGAAGTACACGTGTAATCCTTTATTTGATTATTAGATTTTAAGTCTATTTAATGTTACAAGAAGTTGATGTTAAAAAAATTTAGCTGAATTTTCCGGAACAAGAACCAATTTCAAGTACCAATTTCAATGGAAAATCTAGAGCATTCGTCAGAAAATTGTATTAGTATTCAGTCCCAAAGCTGGTGGAATTCCATTACATATTCGATTTATATATTCTCTATTTCTGTTTGGAATTATGCAATTCAAAAATATAAAAAGTTTCCGTTGATAAAACTCAACATGTGTTGATTTTATTATACAATTCGTTACGATTCTTTGTATAACTGTTTTTGGCAATGAATTTTATAGTTTTTCCTCAGACTTCGTTATGAAAACAAAAAAAAATACATTGGAAGGAGTTCGTAAAAAATAGAAGTACACGTGTAATCCTTTATTTGATTATTAGATTTTAAGTCTATTTAATGTTACAAGAAGTTGATGTTAAAAAAATTTAGCTGAATTTTCCGGAACAAGAACCAATTTCAAGTACCAATTTCAATGGAAAATCTAGAGCATTCGTCAGAAAATTGTATTAGTATTCAGTCCCAAAGCTGGTGGAATTCCATTACATATTCGATTTATATATTCTCTAATTCTGTTTGGAATTATGCAATTCAAAAATATAAAAAAAATTCCGTTGATAAAACTCAACATGTGTTGATTTTATTATACAATTCGTTACGATTCTTTGTATAACTGTTTTTGGCAATGAATTTTATAGTTTTTCCTCAGACTTCGTTATGAAAACAAAAAAAATACATTGGAAGGAGTTCGGAAAACTTATGGAAAAACTTTTTATGGGAAAAACCTAAAAAATAGAAATACACGCGTAATCCTTTATTTGATTATTTGATTATAAGTTTGATGTTACAAGAAGTTGATGTTGAAAAAATTTAGCTGAATTTTCCGGAACAAGAACATTCAAATTCAACAATCTTGAATTCGATTTGAAGGGAAAAAGTCAATGGAATTTCGAGCTTCTCGGAAAATTTAAGTAAAGTGCCAATTTTACATGAATTTCCATATGAAAATTAATACTCACTGTCCAATTCCCTTGAATTTTCTGAGAATTCCTTTAAAATTCTTGGAATTCCAGGAGTTTTTAAAGGAATCTGAAAAAGTAAAGTTATAAACTTACAGCACAGCCCAGCATATCGATTCGAATAGGTCATTCCATAGCTGTTGCACGAAGGCTGTCCAAATTGATAAGGCTGATAACCCAGCAAATTCCCACTGGAGACGAGGCAAAAGGCCATAACATAAAAAAAGGTGATTACCATCGATCAAGTTACCCCACAAACCAGAAGGTATGACTGGACGCGATATACCCACCTAGGTCCATAGTTACAGACGTAATTCTTGGTATATCCACGCGCTGGATCGTAGTAGAAGGAATAGCCACAACCCACTGCAAACGTGTCACCCCACACCACCTGCAACACCCGAGATACGTGACTCCTTGAATTCCCATGTACCCGAGTCCACTATACGGAGTAAAAACTAATCCGCCAGGAATAGAAATAAAGGGAGGAAATTGTGACTAGTGGGAAAATAATTTCAGTTGTTTTCTTTTCTGTTCTTGCCCCTTCTCCTCCGTCGCAAGTTGATCACGTGTGGAAAAATCCTGGAGACATGTTGCATGCGAATCTGTGGAGTTAATCTTATCACGAATTCGAACGGTGTCTATAAGGGGAGGGAATCGAAATTTCTTAACGAAAGGTTAGAAGACTGTTCGGAGAATTCTCGGGGAATTTATAAAAGACTTCCATTTAAATTGAGAATTTTTTATGAATATTGCTTGGAAATTTATGCCTCATGAATTTTATGTTTATTCTCCTCGATAGAGTGAAAATTTCCCTGTGGAATCTTATAGAATTTAATTTTATGGGTATCAATTTAAGGTAGGTGAGGGGATTTTGAAGAAATAATTATGACGTTAATCAAATTGTCGTAGTGCGATGTTTCGGTAAATTATTTCAGTTTTATCAGGCTCGCAACGGCAATCTGCACCTAGTCAAATTATTTATACTAATGTCAGTGTCGGAACACATACTATGCAAGCAGATAAACAACAACTCAGGTCTGCGGATTGACATTTTGTTTATTATCGTCAAGAGCTTAATGAAGCTAAAATAATTTAACGAAACGTCGCAGTTGACAATTTAATCGACGTCGTAATTATTTCTTCAATATCCCCTGACCTTTCTCAAAATAATTAACATCATGGAGATGAGAACAATCATTTGTGGGTATCAGTTTGTTCGTTTTGTGCTGATGACAATCAAGCAAATTTCTTGATGACAAGAAAGCGATTTCTCAAAACAAGTAAAATTGATTTAATTCATTTAATAGTTTAATTAATCTCAATTCTAAAATATTTGAATGCAAAAACCACTCGAATATTTGAGAACTCGTTTTCTTGATATGAACCAATTGCCCTCATCCTTCGGACAAGTATAAAATTTCTTTGTGTAATATTTCTTTTTTTTAGTGTGAGATATTGTGTGCTTGGTAAATTTCAAGCTATGAATTTCTTGATACAAGTACTCTGTTAGAAAAAAAATAAATTTCATGGACAGTTGACTACTAATTTTCCATACAGTGACACTGAATGCAATTTAGGAAAAAAAAAATCATGAAATTTCAGGTTTCACTGAAAATCCAGTAAAATTCCAGAATTTTAAGTAGCATCACACGTATGAAAAAATCGTATAGAAATTTCCTATACGGATTGCGTATAGAAATTCTATAGGATTCGATCGGGCCACGCTGCACTTTTGGATATTTTCAGTTTTCAAATTTCTCAACTAAATTGAATGGGAAAAATTTTTTATAAGGTGTCAAACAAATTCTTGATTTTTTCACATCTAATGAAACAAAATTCAGATTTTAATCTTTGATTGCAATGGAAATGTTGATTTTCGCATAAGACACCGGATTAAATCCTGATTTTTAAACATTTCTTTTAGAAACACCAAAACGATGATTAAATTGAGAAAAAAATTAGGATTCCGAATCTAATCGAGTTTTCAGGAAAGTGTTTACAGTTTTCAATCATCTATGAAAACTACTTTGAAAGCTACATCTTTGAAAGCTACTTTAAATTCGATACAAAATCCCGAAATGTGTAACGGAGATTTCAGACAAAAATTTTTAACAGTGTGAAGACGTCCTTCTCAAAAAACTCTTGTCTTCTCAGTGCGGACTGCCGGTTTCAGATAAGAAATCGGTGCTCTATTGTCGAGAAAAGTAGTTGACTCTGTTGAATTGTGACTTTGAAAAGGATTACGTACCTGGGTGTAATGGCCCGTGGCTCTACTGTAGCCAGTTTGATAGTGTTGCACCTCGTTAAACCACCCGGATATTTGTCGCCGCCAATTGGGCTCGGCATCGTAGGGCCCCGGGGGCCTCGTTGTCCACGTGCGAGCAATGTTCTGTCCTACCGCGAATCTCCCTGTAGAGTTATCCGACAGTGACATTTAATTCAATGGCTCCTGTCCAGAATTTTAGTTTTCAAAAAAACAGCCTCAACGCATGTGTTTTACCGTAATCAATTGAACTTGTTGATTACGTTTTCATTCATGCCTCTGGCTATCATTCATGTGATGCATGAGAGATTTTTATGCGAGAGATTCCGGCAACAGGTTTATGACGATTGCAGGTGGTAGACAAACCGGGACTGTTAATGCCGTTCATTAATAGCTTCAGTGCTACATTATTTCGAAAGCATTCACGACAGCAAGAAAAGCAAGCGCACTGTTTTATGTCTTAACGGGCTTGTTCGAGCTCGTAACACGTTTGTCGGATTAAATATACTCGTCAAACCACCGGCTGTTTTGTCGATGATAAAGACGAGTGGGAGAGATTTGGTGGAGGCGGGGCTCGTAAGCAAGTCTTTATCATTAAAATAGGTGTGATAGCTCATATTTTACACTGTTCAAAGTTTTTCGCCGAAATTTCCGGTACACTTTTTGGAATTTTTTATCATACTTCAGTTTCATGGAAATTTCAAGGAAAAATCAATGAGAACGGGACATTTCAGGTTAATTATTCCATGAAGATGAATAGGAATGAGGGAAATTTCTGTAAATATATCCTTGAATTTTTAATCAGTTCAAAATTCTGCGTAATTTGATGCTGAATATTTATATTTTTATTGAAAATTCAAATACGCTGAGAAATTATCGTGTTAATGCTACTCAAAAATTTTGAATTGTAGTGAATTTTCAGGGACATTTGGAATTTCCTGATTTTTTCATTTCTAAATCGCATTCAATGTCACTCTCCTGAAAATTATTAGTCGACTGTTCATGAAATTTCAAACAATTTCGGAATTGAAAATTCAGAATTTCATGGAAAAATCAATGAGAACTAAATTTCAGTTCAATTATTCCACAGAAATCAATAGCAATCTGGAAAATTTCACTAACTATATTCTTGAATTTTTAACGAATTGAAAATTGTGTGTAATTAGGCATTGAATATTCGTATTTTCAGTAAAAATTCAAATACATTGAGGAATTATCGTGTTAATGCTATTTTAAAATTTGGAGTTTCATAGATTTTTCAGTGAAATCTGTAATTTCATGATTTTTTTCTCTCCTAAATCGCATTCAATGTCACTCTCCTGAAAATGACTAGTCTGTCCATGAAACTCCAATTTTTTCCAGCAGTGTAGAGCGAATTTTACTGCCCCCCTCAGACATATTCTACTGCGCATTGGAGATTTCAGGAAACTATGTAGTGACGAGTGGGGTAAAATGGATCCGACTGTTGGAATTTTTATTGTAATGGAATAACTTTTTTCCTGCGTAAATTACAATTTTATCTTTTTGTGATGAGTCTAGACTAAGTTCAAAAATGATTATTCAAAAAATTAATAATTATCAATTTTCACGATGAGTTTGACAATTAAGTTATAAATTTAAATCATGAATTAAGATTTAGGTCTCAACAATGGAAATTCACATGCAGTTGTTACTCAAATTAAAAGAAGTTCCAAGAGTATGAAAATGAAATCAGAATTTCACGATTTATCGACATTACCAAAATATCGATGCCAATGTCCATTTTTAATTACATTTTCTGGATGAAATTTACTAAAAAAAAGTGGAAAGAATGTAAAAACTCTAAAAATTCTTGTTCCACGACTGAAAAGTTTGTCGAATCAAGTTATAATTTTCTCAAACCTAGAACACTTCGGCGTGTAAATATGCCTCTTTACTCATCATTTCCATCTCTTAATATTTACATGAAAAACAGTACTTAATCTTTATGATCGTAGCAATTCTACATCGGAAAGTTTTCCCTTTAAAAAATTAATAATTATCAATTTTCATGATGAGTTTGACAATTAAGTTACAAATTTAAATCATGAATTAAGGTTTAGGTCTCAACATTGACAATAATTGATAATTCACATGCAGCTGTTATTCAAATTTAAAAAAATTTTAACAGTATAAAAATGAAATCAGAATGTCACGACTTATCGACATTACCAATGGGTTGAAAATGTAGAATTTGAAAAACCAAAAGTCCTGAAAATTGTTATCATTTGATTTCTCTGTCAAAAGAAGTGCTGAAGGGAAGCGGCAAAGCATGAAAATCACCGATGAAAATTCTCCTCGTATAATCACACGTGACGGTATATAGTACTTACGGACATTCCGAGTTGCATCATGATTCTCAGCGCAACTGTCTGCCCATCTCTGCGCCATGGTCGCGAGTTCATCATCCCAGACCTATTGAAAATTGTGGGACAAACCGAAATTAAAGGAAACGAAAAAGGGAGTATTTCTAGTTTAAAAAACATTGCATCTCGCGTGGGAGAGGACAATGCCAGGTGACGTTGATCCGAGCTTTCCGCGTGGATTACACCGGAATCCATTAACACACTCGTTCACGCTCCACTTCAGTATTTCCGTATATAACCCGGATAAAATCCCACGCCATTTTCAACGTCTCCGAAATCGAAAGAGGATGCATTGCTGAATTATAATCCCATTCGGACTTACTGCCATTTTTAAATGAAAAAACAGTACTTAATCTTTATGATTGTAGCAATTCTAAATCGGAAATTTTTCCCGTTGTCGATTCGAGTTGATGCTATTTTTAAATTGTTTAAATGATTTTTAAAATCTAATCTGAACAATTGATTGAAAAGGACCTATTGCTATTTTATTTGGAGATAATTGACAAATTTATGCCAATTTTTATATTGCCACTATAAATTGGATTCAAGAAAAAGAAAAGAAAGAAACAAATCGCACTGTTTATTTCTTTAAAAATCATTTGAGTCAACATATGAAAGCAGAGACCAATGAACTTTTTATTTCATCAATTTGACGTTCGCAAACGGTATAAAAAAAGTAAAACAATGAAAAAAACACGCAGTAAAATTATTTTCTCCTTCAATTAATGTCAATTTATTCAACAAACATGGAGTTTTTTTACATAAAAAAGTGTCGATGCCAATGTCCATTTTTAATAACATTTTCTGCATGGAATTTACAAAAAAAAAGTGCAAAGAATGTAAAAACTCTAAAAATTCTTGTCCCACGACTGAAAAGTTTGTCGAATTAAGTTATAATTTTCTCAAACTTCGAACATTTCGGCGTGTAAACATTCCTCTTCACTCACCATTTTCATCTCTTTATGTTTACATGAAAAAACAGTACTTAATCTTTATAATCGTAGCAATTGTAAATCAGAAATTTCTCCCGTTTTCGATTTGAGTTGATGCTACTTTTAAATTCTTCACATTATTATTAAATCGAATCTGATTAATTGATTGAAGAGTACCCATTGCTACTGCAGGATTTAACAAATTTATTATTCTTCATTTGACAATATTAATTATTGAAATCCAAAAATTTTGATCGATTGATTTTATTATATTTTTATTTTCAATTTGAGCACAGATTTATTTCATTCGGAGATGGTTAACAAATTTATATCAATTTGTCTATTGCCATTATAAATTGAATTCAAGAAAAAGAAACGAAACAAATCGCACTTTTTTATTCATTTTTTTCAATCATTTGAGTCGAAATATGAAAGCAAACTACATGAAAAACATGAAACAATTTTAAGAGAAGCAATAAAATTATTTTCTCCTGCAATTAATGTTAATTTACTCATCAAACATGAAGTTTTTTTACAACGAAAAAGTGTCCATGCCAATGTCCATTTTTAATTACATTTTCTGGATGGATTTATTAAAAAAAAGTGCAAAGAATGTAAAAACCCTTAAAAATTCTTGTCCCTCGACCGAAAAGTTGGTGGAACTAAGTTATAATTTCCTCAAACCTCCAACACTTCGCCGTGTAAATATTCCTTTTTACTCACCATTTCCATCATATTCGCAGCGCTCGGCTGTCCGTGTATCTGGCCCAGTGCAACGAGTTGGCGTAAACGATTGTGCTCGTCAAGAATTGTTTGCTTATCCTGGCAGGATAAACTCCCAGTTCCTGCGAACGAGAAACCCCGTGACTGAAAATACTAAAAAACCCGTGAAAACGGTGGAAAAATAAATAAAAAAATGTGGAAATGATTCTGCCGAGAATGCCGGAGCAGCTTGTGTAATTCATGTCGCTCTTGAACCAAGACTAATGGCGATGATAAAAGCAGCAAAAACATTCAGAAAATAAAACAAACGTCCATTTTGAATTATCCATTTCAATTAAAAGCCCAAGAAACATTATGGTAAAGAGTTGCAGGAGATGAGAGAGTTCTCCGCCAGAAATAACGAATTGTCATTCGATTTCACTCGGGACGATAAAAAATTCAGATTTATTCCAACAACAAAGAGAAAAAAAAACCGGAAGGACACGGAGTTGAATCCCATGAGCATAAGGTTGATCCCAAGTGTGGTAGGCCAACGATATTATCGTCAATGTGTGTCACGCGTGCGCCCCTGATCTTCCTCACCGCTGTGTGCGAAATTAATGAATTTACCTTGGTTACATGAACCATCATCGCGGGAGAGAGAGAGGCCGGGGGCTCCATCAGCGTGTGTTTGCCGTATGGTAATGCCTTACACAGCTAAGGAGATCCATATGCGTATCAAGCTGCACGATCGATCCTACAGATACGTTATTTACCTCTTCAACCTTCTCAATTCACACGGAGAAAATTTTCACGGTGAGAAATACACGGAGAAAAATGTTCAGTAAAAATTACGGAACTCACGATTCCCTCACCGCTTACGAAATCGACTCAGAAAATTTGACGGTATCGTAATTTTTCACAGCAGATTCAGACAAAAATTTACGGAACGCTCTGGAATAATTCCGTGACAGTTCCGCAAAATTTTATACAGCCACATTTCGCTCCGGAATTACGGAAAACGTACGTAATTTTTATTGAATATTTCTCTCCGTGAGCCGAACGGGGAACATTTTATTGGCGAACAAAAAATTCTGTCGTGAATTGGTAGGATAAGTGTATTTTTTAAAAATGCGTTCTTTAGATGAATTGCTTCCCAATAATAGTTGCGAAGCGATTTGGTTTTGGGAAAAATTATCGAAGAAAATGCGCACTTAGTTTCTCATTTTGCGACAGAATGAATAGAAATTGATGAAAAACTGATACAGCTAATGGAAAATTGCATACATTTTGCGAAATTTCCCAGCATTTTCGGGAGGTTCAGTAATTTTTCCGGAGATCGCTCTGTATATTTTGGTGAGAATTTTTCTCGAAAGAAATTTACGCGCTGAAAAGCGGGGAGAAAAAACTTCAGGAAAAATTGCGCGACAAAACGTGAAAGTGAGGTGAAATGCTCTTTTGGAAAATTTTACGTAAAAACAAAAAATTTGGAGCGAAAGATAAATTTTCCTTCTGGGGTCTTAGAAATGTTGTGCATCGAAACGGAATTTTCGAGGGGACCGGAGATTTCTGCAACATTTTTCTCCGTGAGTACCGAACTCTCTCAGAACTCGTGGAACATTTTATTGGTGGACAAAAAATCAATAGAAATCGATGACAAACTGATAAGAATCAATGACGAATTGATCTACTTGAATTTTTGATGAATATGGTTTCGTAATTTTTGATCCGTTAGCTGCGCCGATTTTTATGAACAACGCAGAGACTGTCGACTAGCTGTTGTACATTACGAAATTTCCCAACATTCCCGGGAGATTCAGTAATTTTGGCGGAGATCCCTCAATATAATTTCGTGGAAACTTAATTTCGTCCTAAAATTTAATGGAATGTTGAGCAATAAAATTTGATGCACGAAGGTCAAATTTTACTCCCCATTAGATATTACTGTCATTATACAGACAGTAATAAAAGAGATTGCAGTGTAATAATTTTTGCATGACACATACTAAATTCAGTCATTCAAAAGTAATTTTTATGCGGACAATCAACGAATACTCGACACATTATTGCACTGCAGTGAATTCCGTTGTTGTCAGGAGAAAATTGATCATCAAGGATCTTCATGAATCAAATTTTATTGTTCAGCAGTTAATTTTTACAAAGTGCCGGGTTAAATGAGGGGAATACGACTCGTGACATTGGAAGGGTGAAATTTACTATCCACCATGCACAGGTTGTGACCTCGCAATAAAAATTTTTATTTTTATTCCCATTAGGATAATTGAGTAATGCCGCGAGAGACGAAACCATACGAGCGGCATTACGAGACGAGACGAGACAGTGCGTCGAGATATAAATGAGCAGACGAGACGAGACGAGAAAAGTCGGTCGAGAGAATGAGAGAAACGAGACGAGAGACGAAACCCTTGTATTTTCTGACCCTCTTTTTTTAGCTTCATTTGTCTGACCCATTATCTGACCCTTATTTCTCCTGACTATTATTTTTTAACTTCCCGACCTGAAGGGAGGAAGTTATTGTAATGACTCCGAAGATCGATTGTGGAAATTTCATGGTTTCTCCACGTTTCGTGACTTCTAGAAACTCTCCCGAAACTTTTTGGAGACCGCCTGTGTGTGTGTGTGTGTGTGTGTGTGTGTGACCAAAATGTTATGCTACGATTTCTCTCGAACAAACGATACGATTCATTTTTTTTTCCACGCAATCGATGTGTTTTCATGTAACTTAGAACTGATTAGATTCTGAACAACATCGCCTCAGCGGTTCTTTAGATTTTGCAATAAAACTTGTGAAAAAATGTCGAAAAATGACATTTTTCAAAATTTAGTGATTCCTCTCGGAGAAACAAGGAGATTGATTTCTTATCATCGTAACTGATGAAGCTTTGTATGATTAAAACTGGAGTGAAATTCCCGCAAAATCGTCTCAGCAGTTTCGGAGTAATTCGAACACGAATTTTTACCCCTATGGGATTATCGACAGATGCCCAGACACTTTCGCTCCGAACACGGAAAGAAATGTTCAGTAAAAATTACGTATCTTTTCTGTAATTCCGGAGCCAAATGCGGTTGTAGGAAATTCTACGGAACTGTCACGGAATTTTTCCTGAGCGTTCCGTAATTTTTATCTGAATCTCCTGTGAAAAACTACGATACCGTCACTTAAATTTTCTGAGTGAATTCCGTAATCGGTGAGCGAATGGTGAGTTCCGTAATTTTTGCTGAACATTTCTCTCCGTAAAATTATGATTTTTCGAGTGATTTCGAGTGAATCTATTAAAAATCATGGAAATCACGAACAATCCAAAGAAATCATGATTTCCAAATCTTATTGAGAAATCACAGAAATCGTTCAAGAAATCACAGGAAATCATCCCATTCTGGAAATCACTGAGCTACCCGATTGAAAACTGACCAGCCCCTCGATAAAATGCAATTTTTCGTCCCATCTCGTCTGGCGGCATCGCTAGAACAATTTTGATCAAACATTTCTCTCCATCCAAATAGAATCTTCAGTATTTATCCTGCATCATGACTTTCCCAACATTTTCATCACTACTTTCAGCTTTATACTGATTCAAGTGCATCGTGTGATGGAATTGAACAATTTTTGACTGAATGTATGAAATACTGACATCGTTTCAGGATTTTTTTTCTCACGACATAGTTTGAATTATAGTGCGGGTGTGTACAGCGACCGTGCCCCTCTAATTTCCGGAAAGAAAATCGTCCGTACTGGTGTATGTGTGGGTTTTGTTTGTTTTCACCTCTTCTGTGGGTTTGTAACAAACTGCAGTGTGAGGCCGGGCCGGCCGGGCCGATGAATTCATTCATTTGTATCGGTTGAATAGTTCAACTATGATGAATCGAGGTTTTCGGGAGTTCTAGGCGCTTACACGGGTCAGGGGGGCACATGCAATGGAGCAAAAGGCGGTGATTGATGTAGTGCTCGAGGGGAACAAAAGCGCACAATTGGAATTACACGGAAAGGAAAATTGTAGTGAAGAATGCACTATGCACTGGTCAAATTTTACATTTCACGGACAATTTGATGAATTTTCAGATGACGAAGCGCAGATTTTGAAGGTGAATTTTCCGGAAACAGATCTTGAATTCCATTTAAGGGGTTCCCCTTTGTCTACATCAAATCTTAGAATTGTGTTTTCTCCTGCAATTATTAATTTCTATCTATGAAATTACTTTATCGACTCGATTATTGCATTGTTGAGTCAATGAAGTAGTTTAATGAATAAAAGATAATAATTGCAGGAGAAAACACAATTCTAAAGATTCATATAAACGCAGGGGTTCCGTTTCCCCTTAAGGGGAAAAAGTCAATGGAATTTCAGGTTTCTCTGAAAATTTAAGTAAAGTCCCAATTTTTTAGTGGCAGGAAGACGGGAATTTCATAATTTACATGAATTTTCAAGTGAGAATGAATATTCACTGCTAAATTCACTTAAATTTTCAGGGAATTCCTTTAAAGTTCTCGTAATTCCAGGAATTTTTTAGGAATTCCCCTTAAAATTCAGGGGAATCTGGAATTCAAGGAGAGATTTCTGTCAATTTACCAAATGTTTCATTAATTTCCCGGAGTAATTGAAATGAAATTTACAGTTTCCACAGATTTTTCCATGAAATTATGAATTTTTTAATGAAATGTTTTAACAGTGCAGATAAACTGGTACAAACGACAACTCATGAAGAGGAAGCCACATTTCATTAGTCTCACGGACTTTAGTCTCCTCGCGCGAATCTATTTTACGGGAGTTACCTCACAACTTCTGTAATATTGAAAAACAAAAAAATTGAGACAGAGAATGAGTGATAAAAAAAGAGTGAGCGAGGGTGAGGGTGAGAGTGGCGGGCGAATGGGGCGGAGGGAGTGGAGTCGTGGCGTGCGACTCGAGGGCTGGTTTAAAGAGGGTATTGCGACGTCTGCCGAGGTCAAGGGGATCTCAAGAGCTTTACGTACTGCGCGCTTACTCTCCTTACACTGTCTATATTATTTTTGTATCCCCTTTGTTTTCCCTGCCATCCCTCTCCGCCCTCCTCCAGCGCTTCTTTTATCTCCTTCCGCTTAATCCGAACAATGGAGGGGTTTACGTACTCGACGGTGTTTATCTATCTGCCTAACTAATAGTTTCCCATCGAAATAAATAACGGGAGAAAATGAGTAAAGGAGGAGGGGCGGTGAAAAATCATCAAACTCTGATGATGCATTGATCTCATTATCCGTAGGGGAAACTGATACACTGAGAGAAAAAATTAACTTTAACAAAGATGATTTCCTTGATACAAGAAAATATTCTCCTGTCAATTCCTAGAGTCGTGAAATCTCCTGGTAAATAGTTTGCTAATAATAATCTCCTGGTTAATAGTTTGCTGGGTACGCCATGATAATTTTTATAAAGTGAGGTTTCAACAGTTCTCTTGAAATTCAGGGAATTTTGCCGCTGAAAGATGACAATTCGATGAAAAATGTCATGGAAAGCGTAAATTCATGTCCAATTATTTAAAAAAAGTGATAGTAACAAAAAATTGAGATACATGTCTTGACTTTCAATTAATTGATAATTCAGGTCGATTTGGTACTGAGTATTCAGGCATTGATTGAAAACTTTAGGGAATTCTCGTCATTCTGTTCGAAATTTGAAATTTCAAGGAGTTTAAATTGAAAATTCTATGGAAAATTCACAATTTGATTCATAGATCGGCATCAATCATTAATTTAGTAATATTATGAGAAGTTGCATCTTACAATAATTAATTAAGATTTACTTATCTCCATTGAACTTTGAAAAATATTATAATAATTCATGATGATATTTAATTGATTATTGATAGAAATAATTCGGAATTTGAATATTTAAATTGATGATTAATATAATAATTCAAAAAATTGGTGAGTAATATCAACAATTGACTGATTCCAAATTTAACTTTAATTGAAATTTATGATTATGCCGATGTCTGATTTGATTTAGAAAAATCGATGGAAACTGTACATTTCAGTTACATTACTTTATGAAAATTCATAGAAATTCGGAAATTGAGGTAAAGATAATTTTTTTATTTTCAACTACCGATTTTTTTGGCCCAACCAATACTTGTTTGAGAACTTGTTAGTTTTTCTCTCAGTGCAGAAATCTGTTTTTTCTCTCCGTGAAGGAGACAATCTATATTTGTTCTTCATTTTTTTCTCGTGCGCAAATTAAAAAATGCCCGAAAATTGATTTCGCAACGCGTTTACCCTCCGCATTAGGCTAATTTTCTACGACACTCTTCTCTCCACTTGACTCTGTGAAGATGAATATTCAGAAATTGTTTAAACTCACTCAGTACAGTTTTTCCCGCGCACGACGACGAGATGGGCAGTGGTGCCCCGATGAGGCACAGGCAGATAATCCATTTGCTGATGATTGAAATCATGATTTCCCGATTTTAATTCACTAACGATTTTGTCTCGGTCAATTATCGGATGAGTGACTGGGATGTGACTCGTATCCAAACGTGAACACTGACCAATTGTCGGACACGCTGTCTGACATAGGCTTTATAGTGACGACGATGTCAAGGCGGCTTGTAAACGTGGGTGTGGGGGAGTCCACATTCACAAATGCGATCCCACGATTATTGGTGGGGATTTGGGGATCGCAAGTGTGCGATATGTCACTGACTTGACGAGTTTTTTTCTCATATTCGCCGGGTTCTCGGTCCATCCTTCTTGAATTTCCAGGAAATTCACATGGTGTGATTAATTAGGATTGAGTGACCGCCGTGACTTCGAAATGATGTCGATTTAACGTGATTATAGCGGTGATTCCAGTGATTTCAGAGAGATAGCATTTCAATCACTGCAGTTGGCTTCGAATGATTTCATCATTTCGAAATTGATCATTTCAGAGGTATTGAAGACATTGAAATTCCAATTAATAAAGTTTAATTAATTAGAGGGGTGGGGCAGAATGGGTCGTTTCAAATTGTAAAAAATCTACCACCAATCATTGGTCGTCTTACAATAATCCTCAATAAAAAAAAATCTTGCAATAATTGAGGTTTAGTTATCTTCATTGAAATTTGAAAAATAGTAAAATAATTGATAATTTAGATTTTCAATTGACTATTGAGTAAATAATTCTACATTTCATAAAAGGATTTTCGATTAGCCAAATAATTGTTAATGTTTCGAACTCAATTATTGATTGATGATTAATTTAATAATTGAAAAATTGTTGAGTAATATTGATAATTGACTTATTCAAGATTGAACTTTATTTGGAATTTATGATTATGCCGATGGCTGATCATGAGTGATTTCTGTCACTGAAATTTCGTGGTAAATTTCTAAAAATTATAGGTGAGTCCTTGAAAATCAGTAAAAATTCCCTGAAAATTAGTGACAAGTTCATTAAAAATTAGTGACAAAATCACTGAATTTCAAAATTTTGCAAGCGTTAAATTTCAGATCGCGAGCCTCTAGAAATTGGGGTAGATTCCTGAAAATTAGGCGTGGATCACTGAAAACTAGTGACATGTCTCTGAAAATGAAAACTTTTTTTCTCGCGAGTCCCTAAAAATTGGAAATAGATTGCCTCATGATTAGGAATGGATCAATGAAAGCCACTGATATGTCCCTGAAAACAAAAACTAATTTAATAATAAAAAAATTGTTGAGTAATATTAACGATTGACTTATTCAAAATTTAACTTTATTTGAAATTTATGATTATGCCGATGTCTGATCATGAGTGACTTCCGTCACTGAAATTTGGTGATAGATTTCTAAGAATTAGAGGTGGGTCCTTGAAAATCAGTAAAATTTTCCTGAAAACTAGTGACATGTCCCTGAAAACAAAAACTAATTTAATAATAAAAAAATTGTAGAGTAATATTAACAATTGACTTATTTAAAATTCAACTTTATTTAAAATTTATGATTATGTCGATGTCTGATCATGAGTGAATGAGTGAATTCAGCCAATCTCGCAAATTGACGATGGAGAACGTCCCATTTTGCCCCACTCTCCTCTAATTATATTACAGAATGCAAACTACACGAATGATTCCAGACAAATTTTAAAATCGTAAAGCCAATTCTATCTGATTTCGAATTGATTTTATCACAGAGTGGCGCCGTGATTTCAGGTGTGAGTAGCCCCTCGGGGGGAACTTAAGTGGTGGAGGTGAATCATCTCAGGTGAGATCAGTCTGTATCAATGGGTTTATTACTACTATGGGTACAGTTATTCCTGAATCACAGATTTTCTCTCTTTGATTTGTCGATTTAACGTGGAATTCTAGCGAAATGGGACAATGTGAAACCTCAAAAATAATGTTTGAGGTGAATATAAATTCAGTGGGATAATGAGTCATTTTTGCGTGAAATGTCAAAGAACTTCTTAGTAACTGATGGCATAACGAATAAAATGGATATGTTTATGTTATGATCATTCATTTTTATGCTCAATATGGAGTCTTTAGGGAAACGATGGAGGGTGATAACCTGAATAAAATATTTCTGGTAAATATCAAGTGATTCCGATAATGAGTCATCTCAGAGGCGAATGCCAACGGGCCTCCTTCGTAGCTGATGAAGCTATAGAAATAGTATATATTTTCTCACTCTTCACTTTTCGTCGTCTCGACATTGGCACTGTAAATTGCACTGAAATTTCAAACTCCGTACAATGTTAGAAAAAAAATGAAATTTCATGGACAGTTGACTACTAATTTCGAGGAGAGTGACACTGAATGCGATTGAGGAGAAAAAAATTATGAATTTTCAGGGTTCACTGAAAATTCAGCAAAAATCCCAGAATTTTAAGCAACATAAAGACGAGAATTCCTTAATTTATTTGAATTTCCAATCTAATATGAATATTCGGTGCCAAATTATATTGAATTTTCAGAGAAATCTGAAATTTCATGGTTTTTTTCCCCTAAATGGCATTCAGTGTCACTGTCCTGAAATTTACAGTTCTCTTTGATGTTTCCACGAAATCCTGAATTTTCAATGACGAAATTCCTTAAGATTTCAGTGGTAACTAAACTCAATAAAAATTTCCAAAAAAGTGCAGCAGAAATTTCAGACAAAAATTGTTAACAGTGTACGTGCCATTCAATGGCAAATTATTATTCTCAGAAGTTGAACGTCAAAGTAGTATCTAAGAGGTGTCTTGAGAAGAAAAATTTTCATGCTCAACTACTAAGAATAATGATTTTCGTACGGTATGAAAAAAGTGAAAAACGAGTAAGCCGACAAAAATGTCATTTTTCTATGATCCAATTGAGATATTAAAAAAAAATACCTAGTTTTATTCTATGGAGTCTAACGAACATTCTGAAAAAAGAAAAATTTGAATCGGATGAAAATTGTGCACGGAGAAAAAAATTGGACAAAAAATACCTCGAAAATCGTGACAAATTTTACTATTCGAATGGTAATCGTAGAACGAAATGTAATTCAGACATCTTACGATTTTTTCCCTCCTGTTTAGTAAAATTTCCCACACCAGCAGGGGATTGTTTGTTTCGTAACCCCCAAACAGTTTCGGTAAAAATCATTCTCCATTGCCGAAAAATTATATGAAAAATTGGAGCAATTACTCACGTTCACTGGGATAATTTTTTATGGGATGCAGGGTAAATTCTACAGTTTCGGTACAAATCACCTTGACGTTTAGTAAATTTTCTCGAGCCAACGGAGTAAAATTCACAATCAATCTCGCCCTTTTTCTCCTCCTCAAGGTGAAAAAGTCCTGGAAATCGAGGTTCCTCCACGATTACTCGACTTGTTTGGTAATTATCTCCAACTTTTTTCTCCGTGTGGCCTCTGGATTCTGGATCAGACTCAAATTGAATGAAAATAATCCATCTACATCTATTCACCCAAACAGCAATTAAACCAGTCCAAAACACCTCCGAAATAACATAAATAGGAACAAACTTGCGAAGAAGTTGAAGTGGCACGCGAGGTCGCAGCGAGTTCCTTGCCTCCTCTAGCTCAATCTCCATCCATCCCCTTCAAATCTCCAACTAAATTCCCAACCCGTGATTAATAAGTTCTGTGTGCCGAATGCGATATGGATATTGAATTAATGCGCGAGGGTCACCGTATACGTCGTGTTGAATTAAGCCCCCCCATTGTCTCTGGTACACGCCAGCGGGAGAAACGGCGCACTCCGAGGCGAGAGTTCATCGGCGATGAATAGGGTGGACTGCTGGGTGGTGTGTGTCACGTGGGAAATCTTTGGCTTGCTGCTCGTTAGCTGCCTCCCAGCGCCGAGGGTGTCTTCATCTGTGGGCCCACCTCTACGTGCACTTGCCCGAATTTATCACAATCCGTTATTTATGTATACTCGTCTGATGAGTTCTAAATCCACATTCAGATGAGGGAACCCGTCGGGTGAGACTATTTATGGCGATTCCAGGGACGAGGAGTCCCTGGAGAGATGAGACAGATAGAATTTTCCGTTATAATAACATGAGAATAAATCGATGGGAGTGAATTCAGCGGACGAGGGGATTTTTGAAATTGTTTTGGGAGTGTTGAGGAAAAAATGAAATCTTGTAGACATTCAAGAAGGAATTTTTATGCGAGCGACATTCAATTCGATTTAGGAGGAAAAAAATACGTGAAATTTCAAATTTCACTGGAAATGAAAACTTACAAATTATGGTGAATTTTCAATTGATTCCATCGATTTTTCTGAAATAATTGGAGTGAAATTGATAGTTTTCATTAGTTTTATTATCAAATTTGTGAATTTTCAAGGACAGAATTCAATGACATTCGATGAGAAGCCCTTGGAGAGATAGGATCGATAGAATTTTCCCAAATAATTGAAGTCAAATTGACAGTTTTTATTAATTTTATCATCAAATTGTGAATTTTCAATGATAAAATTTAATGAACCTCCATAGAGATTTAAAAAGTAATTTTTATGTGGGAAAAAATTCATGAAATTTCAAATTTCACTAGAAATAATCTAATTGTATCTTTTTAGAATAGGCATGTTGCAAAAACATGTTTTCTCTGTGACCTGAAAGTTCCGGGAGACGAGTGAATTATTATAGTCATGTCGCGTTCAGGAGGTTCTCATGTTTTCCAATAATTTGGGTAAAAGACCCCCATCTACGCCGATGAAAAATCATTTCTCACAAATAATAATATTACAAATAAAATCTCCAGAATTTTCAAATTTTTTCAATGAAAAAAATTTCAGTTATTTATTAAAAAAGTATAGGCTACAGGAGAATTACTGAACATTTTTTTAAGTTTTTACAGGTCTTCATAGGGTAAAAAAGTAATCCGCAGGGTCGCAAGACAACTCATGGTTCGAAGGGTCCTCGAAAAAATCGGTCGAAGGCCAGAAAAGGTTTCGAAAGTCTTGCAGAGGTAAAACCAGAACGAAATACTCGACTCGGACAACTCCTTGGAAAACCTGGAAACCTCCTAAACAGGGCATACACTGAGAAAAAAAATTACTTTTGCCAAGGAATCAT